TCTCTCTCTCTCTCTCTCTCTCTCTCTCTCTCTCTCTCTACACACACACAATCACTCACCCATCGCCCGCCACGCAACGACCACAAACCTCTCTTTCCCTCGCACAATGGCCGCCCGCTGCCCGCCACCCGAAGATAGCGTTCGCCTTCTGTTTGCCCACCAATCTCGTGTCTGAACCCAAAAAAATGACGGGAAAACCCAAAAAAAAAAGTCTACCGGGCGACACCCTTCGAACCGCCGAACAACAGCCAAAAAAAAACCGCGCTCTGAAACGCTTCCACGCACAGCGACACCCTTCGAACCGGTGCACAGCAGCGCAAAGACAAAACCTCCGATTTGACGAAGTGCCTGTTGGGCCCGCGCCTTGCCCCTCAACTCTTTCCCAACAGAGGCAGACCGGGTTCGGGACAGCGTCACGCGAGACCCGCTGTTCCCTTTATAATGTTTCCGGATGGCTTGATGGGGGGGGAGGGTTGGATGATCCCTGGGTGTTCTGTCAACGCAGTGTGGGCAGCTACCGGGGACACACGTCAGTCGCTTGGATTCGCGCAGGCTGCTTCCTCGATGGTGATTAGTGATGATTAGGATTAGGATCTTCTCCATGTCGTCCGCATTATCTTCCCCGCTACATGACAGGATGATGGCCGACCATTTTTTTTTAAGTTGCGGGTTTGATCTCAGTAGGCGTTCGGACATGGCAGGTCGTGTGGTGGTGGTCCGCATTACTCTATAGTGTCGTTTAGGAGGTGGGCTGTTGCAGTGTAGCATGCATGATCTTGGCATGTCACCAGCCGGAATAGGAGGACGAGGTCATGGCAATCGTAGATAGGTGTTGGCGGAAGATCGTTGTCTTCCCATGACGTGGGGATGCATGAAATGGGGTACCGTATCATGATCATAACAGCTATATTGTTGTTCGTGGCACTATTTCACTAACCTAACAGGCTGATTTTCCCCAAGAGTTAAACTTCGGAAACCTCCTAAAAAGAAGCCAAAACAAAACATATCCACATTATCCAAATACAAAAAATGAAAGGTAAAGCCAAAACAAAACATATCCATATTATCCAAATACAAAAAATGAAAGGTAACGTCATTATGGTAGTATACCAACCAGTTTCAAAACTTCCAGTTCCTATCAAAGCATAGAGATCTGTGAAAAAGTTGGTATGCGTAGCCACTTTAGTATCCACTTTAGTAGTACTGGTTTCTGGAATTCGAAAAAGAGAATCTTGTTTTTCTGGAAACATAACAAAGCTTCCATGCACAGTGCGACAATGCATTTTCAGTGTACGCTGCTACCTTTCATTCCTCAATGTTATTGTTGAAGCTAGTTATATGCCTCTTATTTTTTCATGCACAGTGCGACACCACATTTTCAGTGTACGCTGTCCAGAATCAACTGTGCTCCAGTGTTAGTGATGCTGGTGTGATGCGGGTAGAGTCCAGAATCAACTGTGCTCCAGTGTTAGTGATGCTGGTAGAGTCCAGAATCAACTTTAAGTAACACCTAACACTATAATTACCGTAACAAATTCTTTTGGAGATACCTTCCTTGAAAGTTGAAACAAGCCAAAGATGGGAGGGAGGCACAGAATCAACTTTATCTCCAAAAGAATTTGTTATGGTAATTACTAATTATAGTGTTAGGTGTTACCAGCATCACTGACACTGGAGGGGGGGGGGGGGGGGAAAGACGTTGATTCTGGACTCTACCTTCAACTTGTTTCAAGGAAGTTATCTCCAAAAGAATCTGTTATGGTAATTATAGTGTTACTTAAAGTTGATTATGTGGTCCCATCTTTGGCTTGTTCTGCTTGCCATGTTGTCCCGGCAGAGATCGCCTGCTCCCCGAACATGGCCTGACAAAGCACAAACATCTTGCACAGGATCGCGGACTGCTGTAAATTCAACATCATCACATCCAACCTCAAATCCAAACGGGGAAAAAAGGTAAGCACGTAGATGGCGAGCCTAGGCCGAACAGAGATGGGCTGCACAGAGGTCGCTTTCTTTATCAGGTCAACCAGCGGCTAAGCATACCGCTACCGATAGATAAAGAGGCCTTTCTTATCTTAAGAGAACGATGGTCAACTCTTCTTTAAGCACAGCGTAAGCAAATTCCACTGTGTCAGGCACGCCACAAAGGTTACTCNTATCTTAAGAGAACGATGGTCAACTCTTCTTTAAGCACAGCGTAAGCAAATTCCACTGTGTCAGGCACGCCACAAAGGTTACTCAGGTTGGAGAGCCATGTGATGGGTGGTATGTTAACGAATCAAGAGGAAAAGTATGTCATCGACAAAAGGCAATCCAACCTCCTGCACAACGGGAGTGATCTCGACTGCGGTCACTGGGTTGCCCTCTAAAGGACCACAGGCTAGCCCCGATGAGTAAAAACGTCTGTTGAGACGGATGCCATAAATGCACTTCGTGGAAAGGTCAAGGATTGGCAGCAGAGCAAAAAGGAGGTCGACCTCGATCCCCGCTCTCTGAATGTGAATGGTATGGCCTCACCATCGCCCGCCAAACGGCACACCATCTGGCAGCAGAGCGAAAAGGAGGGCGAAAAGGAGGGGGACCTCGATCCCCGCTCTCTGAATGAGAATGATTTGGCCCCACCAGGGCCCGCCAAACTGCACACCATCCGTAAACAGCTCAAAGCAGACGAAGGGCACAAATGGCCAGACATCATCTGCATTCACAAGATCCACCTGATGGATGCTCTCGAACAGAACCATGCACACATGGAAATCTGGCCGACCAAGGCTAACATGCTCCCTCGCCACGGAAATATGGCCCGACCAAGGCTAGCATGCTCCCTCGCCAAAGTCGATCTCTCCACAGGGCCTGCCAAATGGGACACCATCCTTACACAGCTAAAAGGAGAGGAAGGGTGCAACTGGCCAGACATCGTCTGCATTCACGACATCCACCTGATGGATACTACTCTTGAACACAAACATGCGCACAGCAGGGAAAGGTACTGGCGGTTTAATCGGGTTGCAGACCAGGAGGGGGGCAGGCGGGTGGTCATGTTGGGATTGGAGGTGACCAGTGTACTCTGCGTGTAA